TTTTACTAACATACGTTTATTTATGGTGATATTTCCTACAATTTTGCAATTCTATTTTTATATTCATGATCGCATTTTTTCTTTTGTACGCTGTAACATTTGGGCTTATAACGAAATTCATACTTGTTGAAAGCAGTTTATCCCACGTGTTGACTGCTAGAATTTTATGTTTCCCCGAGAATTTGTTGCGTTTTCTTGTTAAAGTTATGCGGGGTTGGGCAATAAAATTCATTAACAAGTTATGGCATCTAATAAAGTCGATGGGCAGCGGGCGGGAATCCGCTTCTGCGAGTTATGCAAACCACGTGGAGATGTTTGTAATCCGCTAAACCAAACCCTTCGTAACGTTCATCCGACAGGACTCAGAAAATGTTTACCCTCGCCGGTTTAGGTGTCTGTGACGGTCGTCCCTTACAGGAATTGATTCAAATTTTAGCAAACGGGGTTTTTAAAGAGGGGAGAAGCGGCCGTGAATAAAGGGTTCGTTAAGAGTGATTTTATTCTGAGAATCAAGACAATTCCTGTCTCGAGAAAGGCGGCTATGCTTTGAAGAAACGGAAAACAAATGGGGATGTGCTTAATTTCAACAGACACAAGCAGCTATTATTTTGAATTAACAAGCCAACAGTGCCGGAACGAAATACGTTTCACTTAGGCCGGGCACTTCTTGGATTACCGCTTTATGTCTTTCTGGAGATAAAGTGGAATATTCCATTTTGGCTCATTAGAAGCACAAAGCCCGAGATTTACTCTTCCACCCGCTTCAGCGGGATGTAATTTACCAGAGATTATTACGGAAGAAATGAATATGAATTTCGAAAGCTAAGCACGTCTCCAAAGCTATAAAAATTGGAAAATTATATTCTCCCTCCTCCTGGAAAATATTCACTTTTGAAAAACGCTGATGGAATTCAGATGTTAAAGTGGTGTTTGTCGGTCTGCGAGTGGATGAAAAAGAACGAAAAGAAAAACAACCAATCTTGATCAATTCAGAATCCCTGACGAGATCAAACAAAAAAACTACACCAGCATAGCTTAACGCCAAATCTCACGAACTAATTGTTTTACGGGTAAACTGTCAAGAATCACACCGCAGAAGATGACAAGAAGCCGAAAATAGGCAGACCAAAAACGATTGGTAATCGACCAATTTAAACATTTATCACCCATCAGACCACATGGAAAAATTAATCCTCAGCCAGACGTGTTTCAACTTTTCTCTGAGCGATTTCGCAGTGCTTAGGTTCCATTTTTAATTTGGCGAAAGGTAAGCGGTGTTGAACGTGTTCTATAATATCAAGCTTGTATCATTGTAACAACACGAGTCTGTCGTGCAAATTTAATTAACAGGATGAAATTTTCTTTAGTCTTGAAAAACGTGGGATTCCGTTTCTCATTCGCCAGGATTAGAAGACAATTACAAAGGATTATACATTCACAAAAGCTTCGGCCGCAAAGTACGAAGGCTTCTCTTTCACTCGCCAGCCAGAAAACTCAGAAAGTTGCTGATGTTACATTTTAAGGGAAAATTAAAGTGCCGTTAATAATTTGATTTTATTACAGTGTTAAACTTTATTCTTATTAAGTACAAAAGTCCATTTTTTAATAAAATCAGTTATTTACAGCTGAATGAAACGTTTTGTTGTTCAACGGAAATAAATAAAGGATCGCATTATGTTGCAAGTTTTGAAACATTTTATTTACACGAATCGATTCTGGAGTATATATATTTGTCACTTATTAGGGATGATCATTTGTTAATATTATTATTGTTCATTCATAATTTTTTTTAAACATGTCCAATAAATTTTTATAGGCGTCGATTGTTGTTTATCTTGAGGTTTACGTGTTTATTTTTGAACCAAGCAATACAGAACATTATTTTCATCCATGATGCAAACATAAATGTCTAATTTTTTTTTGTATGATGTTATTGTTTTTCTTTAAGGGAGAATTAAAATGCTTTAGTAATTTGATTTTAATGCAGTGTTAAACTTTATTAAATTCACTAGTTTTCTTGGTCCGCTTAACCAATTAATATCTTTTAATTAATGAACGTTTTTAGTTGAGATAAAAAAGTCAGTGTCACGAGCTGGATTCGAACCCACGATCTTCGGCTAGATACGAAAAATGGAAAATCGAAAAATGGCAAAAAGGAGGGAAAATTCAAAAAAGTGGGGTTGAGATGGGAAGTTAGTGTCCGAGTGGATCGAGGTCACGATAGCTCAAGTGGTAGAGCAGCGGCGTATCTTGCTAAAGATCGTGTGTTCGATTCCCGCTCGTGAAACTGACTTGTTAAACTTTATTATTATTAAGTACAAAAATCCAGTGTTTTAATATGCAAATAGTTATTTACAGATCTATGATACGTTTTGTTCTTGAACTGAAATAAATAAAGGATCGCATTATGTTGCAAGTTATGTAACATTTTATTTACATCGCATCGATTCTGGAGAAAACACGTCCAATATATTTTATGCTTATTAGGGATAATCAGTAATTACTATTATTATTATTATTATTATTATTATTATTAATTTTTAAGGGCGTTTTAACGGCTAAGGTCATTTCACGCCCTAACATCCAAACCTTCTATCTTAGGTTAGCTATATCNTTATTATTATTATTCCTCCATAATTTTTTACAAACATGTGCCATATAAATTGTTAGAGGCGTCGTTTGTTGTTTATCTTGAGGTTTACGCGTGTATTTTTGAATCAAGCAATACAGAACTGTATTTTCATTTTTTATTTATTTATTTTCTTTTTTTTGGTGTTGGTTATTGCTTTTCTTATTGTTATACGGGATAGTATTTTTATCTGTGATGAAAACATACAAGTCCAATACATTTTTGGGCGGCGTTTTTTGCTTATCTTCGGGTATTACATTATATTGAGGTATATGATCCGTAAAAGTAAGAAAAATATCTCCTGTCATACGTGTTCATTCTTACACTAAACAAATCAAGACAGCATTGTTCATCCATGATGGAAAAAACTTGCCCAATACATGATTTTGGCCTCATCCTTTACTTTGTTGAGGTTTACGTGTTTATGCTTGATTCGGGAGGGTAGATATTTGGTTTAAATATACTTTTGATTTTTTTGTGTTTTCTTGAGATTGACTCTGATGTGTTGAACAAGTATTTTGGAACTTACGAGTCTACTTGCACAAATTGACTCGGGAGTTTAGAATCTATACGAACCAACTAAAAACCATTGAATTTTTTACAGACAAAATTTGCATAAAAGCGCGTTTTCAATGAACAACTAAAGTTTCATCAAGTTGAATCATAACTTGAAATGTGTAAACACTCGGATGACTGTTTCTTGTTCAAAGTTAACACTGAACTCGTGTTATTTTATTTTTCGTTTACAAAATAGTTGAAAACCAGACTGGCCTCAAGTGGACTTGATGTGTGATGCTGAAATTATTACAATTTTATCATAAGTATTAACGCCTTTAAAATCATTAACTTACATAATAAAGATTGTATTTTTCAATGTTATCTTAAATGTATATTTAACATACTAAATTAAGGACGTTGCCTTGTGCCTCGGATTAGCATGTCTTCTTTGTCACAAAAGTTAGTCATAAGATTTATGAACCATGCGGCCTAATAACGAGATGACTTAGTAAATATAAATAAATAAGCGAGTGGAAATGCATATCGTAAAAAAATAGAACTTTCCAGGCTTACTATTGCTTATTTGAAGAACAAAATTAACATAAATTACTTCTTTCAATTAATTAATCTTTCTATGTAAGTTAGTCAGAAATCGTGAGATGCGGTCTGGTGTATGTAGGTTTCAGAAAAACTCTTTATCGTGCCAACGTTTCGATCTTTATTGAGATCATCTTCAGGGCTCAAAGTGTTTGTCTTCTGTGTAATGGTGCCATTCTTGCGTGTCGCGTTGAGAGTGCCTTCCGGTATAAAGAAATCTGGAAGACCGCCTGCCTTAACAACACGACATACGGGCAATTTTAATTGCAGCTTCCAACTTTACTGCTCGTCAAATTACTCAAAGAGTTGATATAGAAACAAATTTGAAAACATTCCAAGGGCCATTCGCGCAGCTCCTCACATCAAAAGGAAAATAATGAAAGTAATGTGCATAAAGAAGGACGGAAGATTTTGCCCTGGGCACTCTCAACACGACACGCAAGAATGGCACAATTACACAGAAGACAAACACTTTGAGCCCTGAAGATGATCTCAATAAAGATCGAAACATTGGCACGATAAAGAAAATGTTGTTCTGAAACTTATCACACCAGGCCGCATCTCACGATTTCTGAATAATTATCGATTAACGGTCACTAATCACCACACATTTCTATGTAAGGTTTTGGTTGAAATGAAAAAGTTAGTGTCACGAGCGGGTTCGAACCCACGACCTTCGGCTAAATACGCCGCTGCTCCGAGTGGATCGAAGTCACGATAGTTCAAGTGGTCGAGCAGCGGTGTGGTGGGTTCGAATCCCGCTCGTAGCACCAACTTTTTCATTTCAATCAAAACTTTACAAAAACAGATTAATTAATTGAAATTAATTGTAGATTTTTACAGCTTTTCCCGAGATTTTTGTTCTTGTAATTCAGTTTAAAATGGTTGTTCCATTTTTAAAAACCCTGACCACAAAAATAACATAGAACCGTGTATAAAGAAGAACAATCCAAAATGTACTTAACAAAATTCGATAAAGTTTTATTTGAAACGTGTGAATGAAAACTTATTTAAATCGCTTTCAACTCTTGTTGATCCGTTAAAATTGATCATCAAAAGGTGAACCTATTGTTAGATTTTCAATTATTAAATATGACAATATTTTTGCTATTTACTGTCACCTATTGATAATTGAATTTTAGTATTTGATCTACAATTGAGTAATATGAATAATTATCATTTATAATAATGTGAAATGTTAATGGGCATCGATGAACATGTTATTAATAATGGTTTTGCAGTTGGCTGGGTTGTATGATGAAAAATCAACAGGTGGTTTATGTTTATCGAAATATATTTTATCGATAATCATTGAATAATTTTGAAATTTTAGTACAATGATTGTATAATCTAAGTCATTAGTAAGATTTTTATGTTTTATCAGTTCTGAATTTTTTTGATTTTTCCAAGGCCTTTTCCAATTCCCGCCTGTAACTCGCATAGCAGGCTGCAGTCTCGCAGATCCTCGCTTCGAACATCCTGGACAAGTGGTGGTCGTAAACGATGAGCTGAGGTAGCGAGAAAACATCCCATTTTATCATCCGATCGTATCTCGGATGGTGTCTGCTGTACACTTTCAGCCATGCAGGAGGTTGGCCAAAATACCTTTCCGGCCCGAAACGGCTCTCCATCCTGCATAAACATAAAATTGTAAACATTATTTATAAAGTCTTATAGTTTTGTCCTTTACGATCAATTTGTTTGCGTGTCCTTGCTATTTTTGACGGTCGGCCTCCGGCTTTTCACCACCCTCGCTGATGGTTTGTAACAAAACATACTTCATCCCACTAATATCCGTCACAAACCATCTAGCAAACAACCAAACAGGCTCATCACTCCGTATACATTAAGGGCAAATATCACAAATGAATTTTTGAGATAAGATACCACTGAAGATAGCGAGAAGCCATAACGCGTCTGACCAAGAAACAAACAGAGAACAAAATCATCGGAAACAAACTGCTGGAGGAAATCTCATATTTTTCTCTTTCACATTTGAACATATTTCTAAATCCATTATATTTAGTGGTCTATTGACCAAATTACTTCTTTCAATTAATTAATCTGTAAATGTAAGGTTTTGGTTGAAATGAAAAATGGCAAAAAGGAGGGAAAATTCGAAAGGTTGTACGTTGAGATGTGGAGTTGGTGTCCGAGTGGGTCGAAGTCACGATAGCTCAAGTGGTAAGAGCAGCGGCGTATTGAACCGAAGATCGTGGGTTCGAATCACGCTCGTGTCACTAACTTTTTCATTTCAACTAAAACCTTACATAAAAAGATTAATTAATTATTTGTAAACATTTATTACATCGAAGTTAGTCAGTATAATAAAATAAACGAGCAGTTTTAGTTTTCTAATGATAGGTTGAAAAATTCCAAGTTCTCCGTGGTTGAAAACCTTTATTCAATTTAGTAAATTAGATGGAGTTTCGGACTCCTGGCCCATCATCAGTAACTCAACATAGAGAAATATCATGGTATAATTCCCAATCTGAAGGCACACCCATCAGTAATTTCCCATTTTTTTAAATAAAAGTATTTATACATGGACTATGCGAATGATACATATATATTATTTTTCGACCCCCCTTTATTTGTTGAAGGGAATTTCGTCAAAATGGTTTTAAAACTGTAATTGAAACATATATGTTATTTTAGTCCATTAATGGTATACCACATGGTAATGAGATTCTTTATATATGTATCATTCGCATAGTCCATGTATAAATACTTTTATTTAAAAAAATTGGAAATTACTGATGGGTGTGCCTTCAGATTGAGAATTATACCATGAGATTTCTCTATGTTTAGTTGTTGATGATGAGCCAGGAGCCCGAAACCTCCATATAATTTACTAAATAAAATAAAGGTTTTCAACCACGGAGAACTTAGAATTTTTAAACCTATCAATAGAGAAGATATGAACCGTGGAGTTGTTAATATATGAAATAAGATGAGTTTTAGTTTTATGCTTAGATGAAAATTAGTAAACAAGCATAAATATGGCAAACGTTCTTCTGGTCAATTGGTATGCGAAATATAGCCTACCATGTCTTGATAATAATCTCTTGTTTAACAAAATAAACACTGCAAGAACCTGAGACATATATCATCCAGATATCGACAGTAATCACAAAAATACAGTAAAAAAATTAGATACACCTAGTGAGATTAAATAAAAATAAAAATTAGATACAAAGTAGTGAGGATGAACGGACCATTAACATTCAATCCTACGAACTTGTCTTTAAAGAATTCGTTTATATTTTCTCATCAACTTACCTTATTGGACTTGCATTTTTTCGACACATTTTTAAATAAATAAAGAGACTATTACCCTGTCCGGTGAAAATAATGATAAAATGGTTGATCATTTCTCCGAGCTCGCAAAGTAACCGAGAAGTTAATGCTTTCAGGTAACTGTGGGTGATGGTACAGACCATTCAGTAGGTTCCACAAAACCCGATGGATCGAAATTTCAATGGAAAGAGACCACATATATCCAACCTCTGTTCATACTCGAACTCGACCCATTGCAGAGCCATTTTAAATTCAAGGAACTTCAAGAATGGATAATACCTCCCACAAGACCAAAGTACCGGCATTTAATGGCACAAATATTCCTAAAGTCCTTAACATTTCTCATAAAAACACAAATTTTTGTTAGGCCTAGAAATAACGGATGCAATATGAGTAAAGGAACATTTATTATCGAAAACTACCCCGAGGTCAGTAATAGTCGAAACTTTCTCCATTTCTCAGCCGCCCAAAAAATATGAAGGCTGATAAGTAGGGCTGTTGAAATATATACATTTGCATATTTTTTCCCGGTTAACTAAAACATCCAGTTTTAACAAATTGTATATGTTTTGAAGTATTTGGAATCAATTTAAGCAATATTTATTTTTCATATTTGTGCATATATTGCCATAAATGCATATTTTTGCATAAGTTGGTTGTGATTGCATATTTTTGTACATATCCGGCATATCGGTATTTGGCGCGACAAATTTTAATGTTTCTGAGGAGGCAAAAAAATCTCTGATAAAGAGCTACGTCTACCAACCCACTCTTCCGTTTCCACATAATGAACGAGTTTGTGTTTGTTCAGTTGCTGCTGCCCGCTTTCCGCGAACTTTTGGCCACCTTTGGCCATCTCTTGGAATAAATGGACAAAGGAATAGTGTTTGTACCACTGTAAATGTTCTCTTGGAATAGTTTAATTGGATTCATGGAAATATTACAACCTCGGTTCTCTTCTTTCCCTACCATCATACTTTTCAGCTTTACCCAGTCTCTCATGCGTTTTCCATCGCGAAACGTTATTTGTGTGTTGTGAACTGACTATTCCTAAAATGTCGAAAGTCATCGCAAAGACGAAAGATCTTGTTCAAAAGCATGTGCGTGAGTTTTCCAGTGAGACTTTTAAGGGCGATGCGGACGTTTTGTACTGTGTTGTGATAAACCTGTATCAACAGTTTCACGTTTTTTGGTAACACAGCACATAAAGGCAGCAAAACACAAGGAACACAAAGGTAGGAAGTTTAAGTTTCAACAAACCTCGGTGACACAAGGACTGGGTCTGAAAAGTCCGGTTTCGATACCGATTTATGTCGTGCTGTTAGAGCTGACATACCCATCCATAAACTAATCCATCCTGAATTCAAAAGTTTTTTGAGAATACACAGGGAAAGCCATTCTCCACGAAAGAACCCTCAGGAAATCTCACCTGGATCTTTTATACAGTCAATAATCTACAAAATCAGAGACTTCATCGAAAATGAACCGATCTGGGTCTCGATGGATGGGACGACGGATTTTTTCAATTTAACGGTTTTTTTAATGCGTTTTTCTTTTTTAATATTAGCAATGCGATGTTCCTCTTGCCACTGTTTTTCTTTTCAATACAATTATGTGCTTTAATTTGAAGTTTCCTTATTTTCTCATGGTAATTTTCACATATTTTCAGTTTTAATTTGCATTTTTTACCAAATATATTTATATATGTATGTGCATATTTGTCTGTTTTTATTGCATATAAATCACAGCCCAACTGTTAAGGCTTTAGTTTTTAACAAAAGGAAAACATTTCCACTTGAAAATATTTAATAGGGGTTTATTGTCGAAGCTCAAGAAGAGAATCCTTCCAAGTCCTTTGTAAAAGCCCATTATTTACTTGACCATTTACTATTGAATAGATTTTTATTTCATCACAGGAGAGTTTTTTTTTTTAATTAATAACATTATGCGATACGTCTGTGTATTTTAGGTTATTGCCTGCTTAAATTACAATTACTGAAATGCAAGAAAGTGGATAAACATTAATCCAGATATCGAAGAATTATATAAAACGAGATGTAAGAAGGTTCAGAGATTGCGTTCCAGTTCGGCAAAGGAAAGGGTATTACATTCAAAGCAGCTATTACGCCTAATGAAGCCGAAAAAAGGAAGCTTTAAGCGAGAAACGGATACCTTCGCACGAGATAAACTTATATTACACCGTTCTGATGTCGGAACAATATAATGCTGTCTGTAATCCATAGAAGCAATTCCCATCCACTTTTCCCCAAGCGACAACCTAATCCCCTTCCCAATTTATTTTTGCTTTCTCTACAATCGTCGAAAAGGGAATAAACAGCTATATCGCTCGGGGGTGGCTTTTATAAGAAAAAAAAAGTGAGACCCTTAATCCTATGTATTCTTTTTTTCGCCAATTTATTCTGTAAAGTACGCTGGTTTTGAACGTCTGTTGAAAAATAAATAGGAAACGAGAAATCTTACCAATATTCAATTAAAATCCTGGAGAAGAAAATGCCAGGAAACAGTGTTCATTTAGATACAACTTTTATATGAAAAATTCTATCAGGAGTTAAGATAATTAGGAAACACTCAATTTCCTTTGATGAACCAAGACTTGTACTCTGTGAAAAATAATTTAAAGTTACAAGTGCAACAAAATTAAATATGAGATTACATCAAAAATGTAGAACTGTTTGCAATTTAAAATTTATGAGTAATAACCCTTTTGGGATAGGGGAGAACTTTTGACGCCTGTTTGGTTGGTATTTTTTTTCTTTTTTTTAGGGGCATCCGACAGTTGGGTCATTTCAGCCCCGAGCGGATGGAAAATATTACAACACACTTTCAATACGCATTCACACAAATAAATCGATTCATACCTATATACATTCAATTAATTAAGGTTTTTTTACTTGAGATAAAAAAGTCAGTGTCACGAGCGGGATTCGAACCCACGACCTTCAGCTTGATACGCCGCTACTCTACCACTTGAGCTATTGTGACTTCGATCCGCTCGGGCACTAACTTCCCATCTCAAACCCACGTTTTGAATTTTTCCTCCTTTTTGCCATTTTTCAAATGCCTATATTCATTGAATTCATTCTATTTGGTAGATACTCATTATTTATACAGCGACCTGCATACGATAACAAACTAATTTAATTGGGGTCGATGGAGTGCTTTTATAAATATTCCCCATCGACCCAGGGCACGTACACAGGTCGAGGAACGATGGGGATGCTATTCCACCATCAGCCCCTCCCCATTCACTTTAATAAATACACTCATTCATACAAAACACCGAAACACAAAACACATATTTTGAAGACTAT